CAAGTCCATTCCAATGTGTGTTTCCATCACACAAACTCTTTAGGGTATCTATCCGAAATATTTGAAGTACCTCTGTGTTTTCTAAAGTGGTTTTCTAGAGTTTACAAATACCAGCGTTTACACCCCCAAGTCTCTTCTCTACAGTTGTTGTAAGACATGAATACAAAAGGTCTTGTGATCCAGCAAACAAAGAATACAGACTGGGAGGGTGCCAGGGAAACGAAAAGGTTTTATATTCTTTGTGAGAACATTTGAGTCACTTGGCCTACTGAGTGTTTTCAGGTGCATTCACTGTTGATTGCATTTGTTTTCCAGGCTCACTGCCACTACATCACAGTGAAAAACTTTGCAGAAACCGTGGAAAGACTTGAGGCCAAGGGTGGCATCCAGAAGATTATGAAACATCTCTGTGACCTCTTTGCGTTACATGGGATCTTCTCAAATGCAGGAGTCTTCTTGCACGATGGACACATATCTGGAGCTCAAATGGACATGGCAACCGCATCATATCTAGACCTCCTGGCTGTCATTCGGTGAGCTGCTCTAATATAAAAGGAGCTGTGATAGATCTATAAATGGTGCTGCTGTACCTATGGTAACATCTCCAAAGTCAATTCACCTCATTTGGGTTTTATTTTCATTGCCTGGCAGCACTAAAAAGTGATTGAACCCTAACCCTAACCCTAAAACCTATGGAGCTTGTTTTCACAGCAAAACAGACCTAAGTGCCCAGCTCCTCTGCAATCTCCAAAGTTCTGGAACATGAAATCTTGAATTATAAACCAAGAAATCCTGAATGCTTTTTACCATTTGCAGTAGAGCAAAAGCAGGCAAATACATAGTGAGAGCAACACTGGTAGGAGGCAGCAGATCAGACACTGCAGAATCTGCTTAAGCAGCAGCTAATACAGCCTACTCTGTTGCCATGGCTGAGTTGCAACCTGCACCCAAACAATCCTGCCTACAGCTTGTTCAGATGCGTCTGCTCGACACCATTTATTGCTAACTACGTGAATTCTGAGATACAATAAAGTTTTAACTTACCACAACACTCACAAAGGCTTTTTGACAAGGGTTCTTCTTTCACTACTTGATGCTGTTTGTTAAGAACAGATTAACTCATGGTGCAGAGAGTGAGTTGCTACTGTATGTAAAATTCTATTTAAGACACCTGAAGTGAAACAAGAATACACCATAGGCAGAGCTGGGCAGGACTGAGGTGAAGAGAAAACAATTTCAGAACTTATCACAGAATTCAAGTTAAGCAATAAGCTTAATGTAAGGCTTACAAAAGTCTAACACATTGTCATCTCTGGAATTCACTGCAACTTCTCAGTGTTATGCCTTGCTAAAAGGATTCAAGAATGCACATTTACCTATTTACAATTAGGATACAAACACTTCCTGATCCGTAGCAAAACCCCAGCCTCTCCCAAACCCCCAAAAAGCCCTTTCCCAAAAGGAACTAGTAGATGCAAATGCCAACATTTGAGCAAACCACTTTGCATCCCTCTGCCTCAGGTGTGGGATACAGCCAGCACAGGTTCTTGCACCCAGGATGATGGGAGAATGAGGTAAAAGAAACCATCTTCTGCCTAGGAGAAGAACCTGTCATTACAGACTTGTCCTTAGGCCCTAGCTATCTGCTGCTGACTGCTGGCAGATCAGCCCCTGGGCTAGACAGGCCCTTGGTGCAGTTCAGGGTTGTTTTGTTCTTACAGACACAAAGAGAGTAGAAGACCTTGATACCAAATGATGAGGTAACAGAAATACTTCAGAGTAGACGAAGGTTGGAGATCAGCAGAGCACTTCACATGAAATCTAGCAGCAACCTTATTCCAGTTTGGAGGACAAACACAGCATAAGAAAAACTTACTAAGTATTAAAAACTAAGAACCCTGCAGAAACCAAAAGCAAGAACCGGCAGAGTGTGTTGAGGAAACATCTGACATGACACTGAGTCCTAAATTAGGGAATTACGAATGGAGTCCAGGTGATTACAAGACCCATTCAATAGTAGAGACAACTTAGGGCATTAGTAGAACATGCCTCTGAGGAATCAAAACAAGCAGGATTTCCCCCATAGCCTCGGCAACGGGAAAAACTGGCACAAGCTTTTCCGGCTCAGGAACCTGGAACAACGGACTTTCCAGTTTACCTTTGCCTTATTTTCCTCCCTTACAAAGCAATACCAGCTTCAGTAACACAAACGACATTCATCTGCTCCATAGGAAGGATGCTGTTCCACTGGTGGATGCCTTTGACTTCACAGATAAGACCTTGAATTCTGCACTTGGCAGTTACGATGGCCAGGTTTACCAGCGGCTGTACGAGTGGGCTCGGAAGTCACCAACCAACACACAGGTACAGATGCTGTATTATAGCCAGGCAACTTCTGCATTAGCCAGAGCAGAAATTGCTTTTCTTCTAATAAAAGCTATACAGATACAAGTGGAATAAGACCTTTTAATTCTTAGTATCTCATTCTGAACAATGGCCTGTGATACCCCAATTATGCCTCCTATAGTCTTAGATCAGCCATTGAACCCAGCGATGACTTACAGCCCCCAGAGTACAGCAGCTTGTACCAGGGAACTGGTCTGTGTATGCCACCAATGTGGTTTTGGTTTTTGAACTTACAGAGGTAGTACTGCACAAAATAAGCTAAACCAAAAGTCTGTTTACATAGCTTACATATTATGGAACAACATATTATGCAAAAGCCACTAAACACGGGGTATATTCCATCCGCTGGTATTTCTACTACTGCAGTACTTAATTTCTCTAATAATATGTTTAACCAGAAAGAGTATAAATGTTAAACAAGGCAATTTCATCCTTCATGGTCTTTAGCACTTTATTTTCACTTCCTAATTCATCCATATTGTGGAGTAATATAAAACTCTGCACAACGTAAACAGCTATTGCTCCATTTGAAAACCCATTTTGCCTTAAGGGAGATTTTTACTGTGGTAATCAGCAACCCTTTGAAATTCTACTGCTGAACACAGAATTTGCCTTCAGCAAACATTCATGTCCAAGCATATTTTCTGAAGTTAAACAGTACGCTGCTCCATTTGGGATGACTATTGTGTACTGCTTATGAAGGACAGCACATACTTGGGGAAAAGATCTTGCACTTAGCTGAAGCAGCTAGTAGCTTGGGTTTGTTTTCAAAAAGGTCTAGCTTTCTGTAGTTCAGAGATCATTCTTTTATCAAAAATATACCCTTTTCTTTCTTAATTACCACTAATTCCCTTCTATATTCTCTTTCTGAACAGACAAACCCAGCCTACGAGAGGTATTTGAAGCCACTTCTTCACAAGAAGGTATCCAAATTATGAAGACCATGATCTAAGTGAAGGCCACACACTTCCTCCTGTCTTTGTGCAGCTGTACATTGGCAAAGCATCAGCAATGACGAATCAGAATTCATAATCAGTTGCTTACTTGCAGTTGTAGCAAGTATGAAACAAGATTCTTAGCCAGCCACTTGCATTTAATCAGGCAGAAGTCAAACAACACTGAGTAGTGCCCACTGCTATGAGGCAACCTAGGCTGAAACAGCCTAGGGCTTGCTGTTTTCTAATCTGAAGTGTCCCAGTAGCATTAAAACTATGTCATTTGGATTTCTTACTCTTCTTCTAAAGCCACTTTATGGTGATGAAAGGGGGAAAAAACCCAAACCACATTACAAGCTCCTTCTCAGTGTTATAGCTGTACAGTGCCTTGAGAAAATCCCCACTAACCCAACCTTTCCTGAAAACCCCAAGGAAGCTAAAATGATGGTCCCTGGCTTCTAGGAAAAACTTGTTCTCTTAGATCAAAAAGTATACTAGAAAGTACATCTGTTTGGATAATTAACACAGCTCTCAACTTGCTCAGCAGTGGAGTATTCCAGGCTAATGAAGATTCAGACAAAGCTGATGCCAACTCCAGTCTGCGAAATTTCCTTTGCTGTTTATAGAGCCACTCACACGGTCTTTCTATAAATCTTGGGCTCCAATAAAGTGCATTATTTCAAATACTGCTTCTCTGATTATTATACTTCATAATTATGGAAAAGGCAGGCTGATCCAGGCCAGTCATTAATTTGCTACTAAATGAAGTGTTGCAAAGAACATTTTGTGATCATAACTCAATGCCAGTTAACACAGATATTTCTTACCACATGTTGCAGGAAAGAAACAACCACTTTTCCTGAGCTTCATTCGTTCAGTTTTTCTCCCCCCCTTATAGGAAGAATAAAGCTCTTACTGCCTCTTATGACAAAAGTCAGAAACTCTGTGATGTTTGAAGGAGACAAAATATAAGACAGAAATCCACGCCTGTTGAGTGAGAGATGGGATAGAAAGCTCCTGCCCTCAAGAACCAGCAGCTGTCACAGTAATCTAGACCCCCCTCTTACATCCCCAAAGAGCAAAGCAGTTGTGGTAAGGCACACTTGAGCCAAGCACTTCATGGGAGAATAGGATCCATCTGTCCAAACGGATAACAACTGTCTTGCTCCCAACAGCATTCAAGTTAAAGCATAACCAGAAGTTCTATTAATAACTAAGACAAATTGCCCAAGATAAGAAATGGCTACACAAATTTGAGTAAGAACACAGAACTTGAGTGCCTTCACTTGAACATCAGAGCAGCACTCCACAGTTAAAATTCTATCTATAAAGTCATTAGATAAATCACTGACAAACCAGGTAACAATCAGGCTCTTTGCTGCCTCTATCCCTACCCCTTGAGGCAGGACAAATACTTAGCATCTTTCTGTTAGTCATCATGCATTTCTCAAAACACAGCTTATTCTATAATGAGGACAGTTGAATCAATATAAAAAGGCCCAAAGTGCACCAGTAATGGAGGAGAATGGAACCCTACCGGAGCATCTGAACTACTCCGCAGCACAGAAAAACAGGGTTTGGATGGGTTTTTGAGTTAGTTTGTTTTAGTTTTTTAAGTATTAAGAGTACTAGAAGACAAAAAGAAAATACAAAATAGTATTCTGTATTTCACATTTTTATTAGCTTCTTGTTGGCAGGCATTACACTTGGGAATAATATTGCACCAGGCATTAAAAATATTAATTCTACCACAGGGACATTTTGCATTTAGAATCCAATATAAATATTTCTAATCATATTTCCATGGCTACAGATAATATTTGGTTGTTTGACTTATATGCATAGAAAGAAACAGTTGTCATAACTCTAAGAAACTGTACTTATCAAGTACTTTTAAAAGAGAGGAATTTGTTTTCCTAGAATATTACAATACTGTTTATTTATTTAGAAACTAAATTAGACTAAATGATAGCAGCTTTTCCCCAACTGCATTTTAAATTCTTTTTTGTTTCTTGCTCCCAGTGTCATCATGTTAGATGGATTAGAAATCATTTAAACAGAGGTAATTTTAGCACTTTTGAGTCAGAGAATTGCGTTAATGACATAAAATACCTTATTGGACTAATTCTTCGGACTCCCTCTTTCAAACAAAAAGGTGTCTTGACTGAACAGGCACATGCATGGTTTTCTTTTCAGAACAGGACAAAAGAACAGAGCTGCTGGAGAAGGGAACTCCTCCAGTCCTTACTGAAAAACAATAAATAGTCATATAAAAAGAAGCCCACATTGTTGCTTTAGTCAAAACCCAGACTCTCTTGGGATTACTGTCCAGTGACGTTGCTAATGGGAGCCAGAATCAGTCATCTGTTTTCCTTGCCAGTCTACAGAAAGTCCAGTTATGCTCCACTGTGTTCTCATTAGCCCGTTCACTCATATGATGCACTCTGGTATTCCTGATCGTGAAGCCTTGCTTTGTGATGTACTCCATGAGGTGGACTCTAAGTGACACTTCCTGGTGGTAATCGCACGGCCCAAAAGTGAAGGAAACCTGGCAGTCCCTGGTGTCCATCATATGCTTATTCCACCTTATGAAGTGGTTTGAAATGCCTTCCAGTAATGAATGGACTTTTGTGGTGATAGTGAGCTGTGTGATTATTACAGCCACTGGGTTGGAGTACTTGGAAAGCTTCCGGGTGCTGGACAGCTCCACCACCTGCTCAAAGGTATCCATGGAATACAGTGGTTTGGGGTCATTAAGACACTGAATGAGTGGTTCAATCTGATAGAAGTCTGCTTCCTTCCGCAGCAGGTCAAACTCCTTGAAGTCCAGTGGCAAAGTGAGCTCTGAGGTCCTTAAAAAGTTCAGAACATAACGGAAAAGTGGTCCATCTCTGTCAATAAAGTAATTGCCCTGAGAGTCCCTGGCAGTGGGGAAGTCTCCCCTGAACATGGCCCCAAGCATTGAGTCAGGATATCTTGTTAGAGTTGTGAGGGATGTCGTATACATGTGTCCACCCACATTTAGCGTGACTGGATCAGTCATCTAGAAAGAGAGAAATTGCAGAGTTTATCAAGCCACCACAAGATTCAACCACCTCACTGACACACATGGCAAGAACTGCAGGCTCTGCAGAGAATAACTCTTCTATCTGAAGCCTTTAAGCGGTGTTGAAACCCAAACAAATCCAAGCCACCTAGCAACAAGGCACAACTGGCAACTAGACAGGGTGATAGTTAACATTCAGAATGCACATTTCCAGAACGCTTCAGAAATCTTAACAACTGAGCTGCTGCCACAGAAGCAGGTTTTGCATTTGGGCAACAAAGTTTTTTCCTGTTCTACAGATGGGGAAATGAGAGGAGAGATATTTCCTGAAGAACAAGTTAGTCTGAATGAGGCCCAGCAGTGTTTCTTACTTTTACAATGTCTCATTCTAGACCAAACAAAACGGGGAAAAAAATAAAAGGAAAAAGAAAAAAAGAAAAAAAAAAAAATCAGCTGAACAAGTCCTAAGCCTCTTTCTCTCCTTCAAAACAGGATGACAGTGCAAGTTTAGACACAAGACCAAGAGCTCACAAACAACATAATCCACGCTCTGGTTCAGAAGCATCAGTAAAACAAACAAAAAAAACTTTCAGCTTTTAAGTCTAAAAGGACATATTTATTAGCAAATGTAGAAGAGGGAGGCAGAGCACAACCAGTCTGCATCAGCTTCCAAATAGCACATGAGGAAGCAAGAGAGAAAGGAACATAAATCCCATCTGTCCGCCAACCCTAACAACTAGGACTGAGGCCAGCCAGAAAAAAAGACATATGCATGGCAGCAGAATGTTTAGAAAAGGAGAAAAGGAGAAAAATAAGATGCACTTGTCTAGTTTGAGGCAGGGTTTGCAAAGAAAAATATTTTTCCTTCATATATAAAATTACAAAGTCCTTAAAATCACAGGCAGGAAGCACTATTTTCTGCCTTTGTGTGTTAGCAAAACAGTAACAGTGAGCTTAAGGCAACACTTAGGTACTCACTGATTGCACCTAGGAAACATGAACCTGAGCTATCTCACAACCAGCACATGAGTCACATGACTGAAGCTCTGGATCTGTACCCAAGACAGATCTGGAAGAACCCTTACTGTAAGGTCTCAAAAGCCCAGCTGCACCACACAGTGCACACTTCCACAGGCTCCATACGTACTTACCATATAGCCCCAGTCTCCATTATCCATCTGTTCAATTGCTTGAACTATGGTATTCCAAGTTTAACAGAAGGCTGCTGAAAGCATACACGATTTACCTCCTCTTATCTCCCTGCAGGAAAAAGCACACACAAAAACATGAAACAAAGAACAAAATATGGCAGACCATCAGTATCTACAAGAACAACCAAGGGGAATGCTTCCTAATCAAAGGTAGGCTCTCTGCTGGCAGAGCATTCAGCTACAAAATCACATTAGCAAGGGAATCTACAAACACGCTTTTCCCACCTTCTCCCTTCATGCTACCTATAGGACTGCCTCCAGAGCACATAGGTAACCACTCCACCAGCTCTCTGACCATCCCAGTTTTGTTAAATGACAAGCAATCTTCTGAGGATAACATACATTTCCAGACTGCCTTCCACCTGGGAAACTGTGAGTACTTTGAAAGACAGATGTTCTCTTCCCAATTAAAAAAGTTGATTTAGCCACCACTGATCATACATATGATTTGTTAATATTGTCAGAACTTCCATGCTCCAGTTTTAAAATGCACAGAAGAATTAATCAAGCATGAAAGTCAATGAACAAGAAGCAGAAAAAAATTATCTCTGTAAAATAAATAATTCAGCAGTGGAGAACCGCAACTGATAGCAAGAACATCAAACTACAATATGAATGGATTTCACAGATACATATGCACCCTCAAAAGAAATCTCTTCAGGGACAAGCCAGAGGACATCAAACATGTTTTTAACAACGCCCCAACAAAAGCAATTTGAGAAGTGGTTCTTGTGTTGACTTCCCTGTCCCTGAACTGCTGACTTGCATAAGGGGACCCTCTCAACACAAGCACATCAAGAGAAATACACAGCCCAGGTTGTGCAACTCAAGGTGGAAGGTGGGAGTGAATGTCCCCAGACACCAGCGGAGGTTTTCCAAAAGTGGCCTGCCAAGCATGTCAAGTGATGAACGGACCAGAAGCCAGTCACCAATAAGACTTTATCCCTACCCAGAGCCTGCCTCACTGCTAGAATTGCTGGAAATTTAGGTCAATCTGTTTTAAGTAGGGTACAGCTTCGCAGCTTTGTTTATTTTTACATCTTAAAGACCACACAGTTACCAAGACTTCTGCTTCCATCCTCTTTACTAGCAAACTTCAACACGCAGGCACCCAGCTAAAAGCAGCACAAAGATCAAGCCCAGTCAGAGCCCCACATTCCAAACCAACTGAAGGTTTGCAGTTAATTCCCAACTAGAAAGTTTCTTGCCCTTCTCACTGCAGCAAACCAGGTTGGTTTCATTCACCACAGAACAAGGCTGCACATCCCACCTCTCTGGGCTGTGTTATCCCATCCAGTCCTACAGCCTGGACACAACAGGGTCCAGGAGGTCAGGCCTTCGGGGGCCGGCAGCACAAGCACAGCCTCAGCTATGCCTCAGATGTATGAAAGAGTAGAAAAACCCAAATCACTATATGAAAATCCTGAGGTGAGACAACAGAAGACTAAGGAATACTCATGTAGAGAACTAGTCATACCAGGATCTTATTTTTACAAATTAGAGACAGAGCATGCCTCAAGAAAGTACATTAAAGCACAGCCCAACAGCAGATAAACCTGGAATGCCAGCTCTTTTGCCAGCCTCTGTAATTATGTTATTTAAACTGTTCACAAATCAAGAAGTGCATTCATTCAGGTTTTCTTTATTTGGGATTGTCATTCAAGTACAGGCCATTAACTTTATCAGCAGCCCAGGCCTTTCCGATTCCAGCACTTACAGGTGTTATTCTGGTCAAGTACAACACCAGCATAACAAATAGACGCATTAAAATGATAGGAGAGACTGGTCCAAGCTTCTGATAGTCAAAGCAACATTCACTTGAAAGTGAACTGATGCAGCCAGCCCAGAAATTTCCCTAGTAATCATGACAGAGGAGATCTGCGGTGTAAATAAAATTAACTTCAATTATGTAGAATATTTCAAAGACAATGTCCATTAGTTATGTTATTTTGGTCAGCATCTAAATCCACACTACAGATGAATCAAGACTATCAGGGCAAGAAACAGAGGATGCTGTCTATATGAAGGCATGAAGTAATCTTTGCTCACAGCACTGCTACGTAACACTGGAGTCAATAACTTATGAGCAGTATGCTGAAGCAAACCCACCCTTGACATAGAAGTGGCACTGAGAAACCTCACTGACCTTTGCATAAGAACCTAGAATCATTTGGTACACACAGACCAGTGCTGGAGCAGGGTGCACGATGCAAACAGATGATACCAGGAGGCCACCTGAAAATGCTTGTGGGATCACAACTTCTCTCATCAGCCTAGGAGCTCTGAATTTCTAGACTTCACAGGCAAAAATAACTGTTCAGGTGCAACCTGAGGTAAGTAGTAGGAAAGCATGTCACCAGAAGGATAAGGACATACACCCTTCACGATGTACACCCTTCTAATGATGCTTGATATTCTTCCTGAATGAAATATGATGGTGCATCCATGGGGGTGGGCAGACACTCCATCTGTACCCTGGGATGTACTGCCTCAGGCCAGCTCTCATCCCTGTGTCAGACAACACCACATTGCACCCAGGGGCAGCATCGCTAATGTGGCTACTCATGTCCAGACAGCAGATATGAGATGACATGCAGCCATATCCCAAACACAGCCTGCCTTTAATAACCGTAAGAAAAAGTCATGCAAGATGAAATTCAGACAGACAAACTGCTGCTATCATTTAAGCCAAATGGGATGTCACTCTTTGGTGAGAGCAGAAGCACACTGATTGTGTGAAACCACAGTTCTGCTTTCATTGAACTGCTTCTGTAAGCAGCAAGAAGATACACAGCATTAACATGGCCATTACAGCTGCTGCTGCAGCCAAGCACATCCCAAACTAGAAACATACAATGAGAAGCAAGTACCTTCCAAGAAAAATACTCAAGTCATCATTTTATACTTAGTATACCAAATTGCATACCTGCATTTATAAAATGCTGACTCTTACTTCGTATGTTATGACTCGAAGAATCACAAGGCTCTTCACAAGCAACACTACTACAACAGGTATTTCTATTAACTTCAGCAGGGCTTCTCCCAGGACAGAGCTGCTAACGTGCAACCATTCCGCAAGCTGGAATTCAGAGAAAGCAAGTAAGAGTCAGCTGAACTTCTGCTTCTGTGAACACACATACGGGCTTAGGCAGGACAGGGGATGGTGGCAGCATTTCCAGGACCATGTACATTGCAGTTTGTCAAGGCCATAGGCTACACACTGCGCCTGGAGAAACCCACTGCACTGGCACTACATGCAGTTACTTGAAGGAGGAGCAGAAATAGACTAACAGTTAAAAGTCAAGAGTCATGCACCACCTGGCTTGCTCTGAATGGTTTTCATCTAGTCTTTCCAACAAAAAAATTAAAGGATTTACTTGTGGCACCATCCTTAACAGACACTTTGGTATCAGTATAACAACACAAGCTGTTTAACCTCCACATAAACTGTTTAACTGCTTATACACCTGGTATTTCAAGCTACTCACCCACTTGGTGAGCTCCCTGCCTCTCACATTTAGATCTCCAAAGATGAAAATAAAATCCTGCCCTCAGCACAGCTACACTGTACACAGACAACCTTTTTATTCCCCAGGCAGCCATAACATTTGAAAGGCAAGTTTTTATTATAAACCATTATCAGTTACTCACCTGAACTGACAAAAACTAACTAGCACCAGAGATGACTGCAATCCATCACACTGTACAGCCAGACAAATCTGCAGAGTGAACCCATGAGGCTTCAACACTCTGCCATCCTAAGGGAGTGAGGAGGAGGCAAGCTCTTAAAACAACCAGTTATCAAACCTTCTGGCAAATAAGATCAGCTTCACTACAGAAAGCACCCATCACCACATGTCAAGTTTATAACAACTAATAGATACTTAAAAATTAACTTACTTCTTGCTTCTCTTTAGTTGTTTTTTTATTTTTTTTATTTTTTTTACTAATACTTAGTCTTCACCCAGACAGGAGGGAAAAACGCTCACACCAGCCACTCACAGCATTCTCACTCCTTCATGTCTAATTGCCTCACTATAAATTCCAAGATCCCGAAGTTTCCTCCCCACCCCTGAGGAGCTATATTACACCCTGGTTTAAGTCCAGGTTCCAAACTTTCATTTTAATTGGTAGTTTGAAGAGCCCACATCATGGTATCACTTGGATTCTCCTCTCACCAGAGCCAAAAGAAGATACTTGTATCTAACCTGGTCCTGCTGACCCTGTGCTGCTGAAGTAACTACAGGCACCCAAGCTTAAAGCACCCCTGACAGCAGTTGGGTTTTACCCATATATTCTGCTTCTTAGGAACTAACCATTAGTTGGTTCTTTGTAGAAATATGTTTCCAAACAGTTCTAGAGGAAGTCAAGTGTCAGAAACACCGACCCTCACTGCCCACACCAGGGGGCTCAGCATGAGCACGGACCAAAGAACAATGCAGCAAGACTGGGGCTGAAGTCCCTCCCGTAAGCCCAGGCCAAAGAGGGGTCTAGGCCTTCAACAGGAGATGGGAAGTAGTAATTTCCATCACAGAGGAACCAGCGAGCTCATGGTGGAGGAACTCTCCCCAGCATCACAATGATTCAGCAAAGATGCTGGAAATGAACCCAGACATTTTACCTCCCCCCTGCAAGTGACCCAGGAGCCCACAACCTCCCCCCACACCTCGAAACAGTGTCCCAGCTCTGCCCCTTCTCCCCAGTACAGAAAAAGAACCCACTCCCCTCTCTGCGTGGGGCAAGACCCACATACCTTCATCATCCCTGACAGAGATCACCGCCGCGTACGCTGTCTCGCACCCCAGCTCCTTCCCCCACCCCAACTAGATGCAGGACCCACGCACCAGCTGTCCCACCCCTACCCTAACATCGGGTCCTCGTTATCCCATCCCGTAGCGCTTCACCGCCACCGAAAAGACTCCGGGAGCCCAAACCCGTGCCCTGCACCTCATACCCTCCCAGGATGGGGCCGTCGAGCCCTAATGCGTTGCCCGCCCTAAAACGTTGCCCGCCCCCTGGGCGCCTGGCCCAGCATCCCCAGATCCTGCGGCGGCCCTGCCCGGCACTCACGGGAGCAGCTCCCGGCGCTGAGGCAGAGCCCGGCGACGGCGGGGACAGCGGAACACGAGAGCAACGCAGAACCGCCAATGCGGGCGGGCACGGGGCGAGGGCGTGTCCTGACCAAGCCACGCCCCACAACGGCCGCACCACCTCACGTCTGTGGGGCGAGGGGCGGGCGCCGGGCCGCGGACCACCGCAGCGCCTCTCCCCTCAAGGCCCCCGGCCGGGTCCCCCCGCGGGGTGGGAGCCGCCTGGCCCGAGCAGCCGTGTCGCTAAAAGGTGAAGCCCTGGCCGCGAGGGGGTGCGCTCAACCCTGGGCCATGGAACTCCCCCCCTCAGCGCAGGCTGGGCTCACGATGGTCCCTGCCGAGCTCAGCTACCACTACTACCGTTGTTGAAGGGAACCGGAAATGGCGTCTAAACACCGCGCCGGGTGTTCTCGCGAGAGCTTAAGGGTGGGCGGGGCGAGGCGGCTCGCCGGGCCGCGCGGGGCGGGGCTTTGGCGTCACCGGAGGCGCCAACGGTCCGGCGGCACTAGAGGACACGGGCAAGATGGCGGCGGCTGCAGCGGTATTGCGGCACCTGGCCCCGTTGGGACACCGCCTCACCCGCATCCCGCCGCACGGCTGCGCCGGCGGGCGCCTGTTCCAGCATCGCAGGGGGCTGCGCCTCTCCGCGCCAGCCGCCATACAGGTAACAGCGAGCTCGAAAGAGGGAAGTGAGGGAAATGGGCTCGTGTCCCCCTCAAGGGAGGCGAGGCCTTGCCCCACCGGCTCCACTGTCTCACAGGTGACTGTGCGGGATGCACTGAACCAGGCGCTGGATGAGGAGCTGGAGAGGGACGAGCGCGTCTTCCTGCTCGGCGAGGAGGTGGCCCAGTACGATGGCGCCTACAAGGTAGGTTGGTACCGTTACGAGGCCGTGAAAGGACCTCGGGCGGGCGCTGACTGCTCCTTCCTTCCAGATCTCGAGGGGCCTCTGGAAGAAGTATGGGGACAAGAGGGTGATCGACACTCCGATCTCAGAGGTGAGACTCTCCTGTCTCCTACCCAGGAGCTGCCTTCAGTTGCTCCCCCAGCACTTACCCCTTTGGTTTCCTTCTCTTTCAGATGGGCTTCGCAGGAATTGCTGTTGGTGCTGCTATGGTTTGTAAACGTGCATTCCTTTACTTCCAGTTTAAAAAATTAAACTTACTCCTGCGTTAAAAAATACTAATATACATAAATATATTTAACAGGCAGGGTTGAGACCGGTGTGTGAATTCATGACATTCAACTTCTCCATGCAAGCGATTGATCAGGTCATAAACTCAGCTGCCAAGACCTGTTACATGTCTGCAGGATTAATCGGTGTTCCCATTGTCTTCCGGGGCCCCAATGGGGCATCAGCTGGAGTGGCTGCCCAGCACTCCCAGTGCTTCGCTGCTTGGTACGGGCACTGCCCGGGACTGAAAGTTGTTAGTCCTTGGAGCGCAGAAGATGCCAAAGGTCTGCTGAAAGCAGCCATCCGGGATGATAATCCAGGTGAACACAGGCAGATCATGGTAATACCTCGCACCTGATCCTGAAAGAAAATGCTGGGTTTCCCCTCCTGCCCCATTTAAAATGAAACAAGATTATTAAACCCTAAACCACTCAGGTTCAGGGTACTTAGAAAGGCACAGAAGTATTTATTATTTTCCTAACAGTCACTTCCTTTATTAGCAGTAGATTAATTTTGTGCTGTTGCCACAGCTCTGTATCTTTAGTGCTGGTTTGGTACCAATCAGGAAGGTCAGAAACACGAACCTGTTGTAAAGGGGGTAAAAAGGATAAAGATAAATTATGAGGAATTCCTGTATACACAGTGTCCATATAGGTAATTTTTATAGATAATGAAATTCAAATGATAAATTCAGAATGTCATTAAAACCACAGACATGCATGCAGAATGTAAGAATTTTCTAAAATGGGTGATTCTGCCATCATGTACCAAAGTTAAACACCTGATCTTGTTGTACAACGACAGTTTTTTAAAATCAGCCTACTACAAGAAACTTGGCTAGGGGCTTTGGACTAGTATGGTTAGTACTGTTAGTGTCAGGACAGTCCTGTGCCTGCAGATACATACATTAATCCAAGTATGTTTTGTTCTAGTTGTGATGCTGGAAAATGAGTTGCTGTATGGTGTTCCTTTTGAACTGTCTGAGCAGGCACAGTCAAAAGACTTCGTTATTCCAATTGGAAAAGCTAAAATAGAAAGGCAAGGTAAGCTGAGAATAGTTTATTTCCTTGTTAACTGAACTGCCTGGGGACCTTTTTTAACCTCATAGCTATTCAGAATACAGTTTTTATGAGACACAGAGAAGTATTTCAAATGTTAAATGTTGAAATATTACTTTATATAGTAGAGTGCTTTATTGTATGTTGCCCATATAAAGAAAGATCACCTTATTCTCTGTATTTTACCTAAAACTATAACCTTCCAAAGGATTTGTTCCATGATGGCTGAAAAGCCTCTTGTCCTCACCTTAGTATGTAATTTTTGTCAAAAATGCAAAGAGATCATTCTAGCGTTTCTGCCCCTTTGTTTATCATTTACCACTGAATTATATGAATGTTTGAAAAGGAGAATCTGAAAACTTTTAAGTATCTGTCCAGTTCCCTGAATTAAAGGATAAAATATGTGTTTTAGCAGAGTCCTGCTGTTGCCATTCTTTGTGCTGTGTATGGGCACAGAATAGTGAGGATTTGAAATAAATCTAAGGAACTTGAATTTCCAAGGAACTCCTAACATTACCTTGAAAGGAGCTTGAGGTCTAGAAAAAAGCTTCTTAAGGGGTTATTTTTTAACCCTTGTTTCTGTTTTAGGAACTCATATTACATTAGTGTCACACTCAAGACTTGTTGGACACTGTATGGAAGCAGCTTCTGTACTTGCCAAAGAAGGTGTAGAGTGTGAGGTGGGTGACATTTCTGTTGCATTTCTCTCTTCCTGAAATGTGGAAAAAAATCTTTTAAGTGCCTTAACACCATGGGCATTTCATGGTTCTGCATCTGACCTTTTCATCACACAATTAAGGCAGAACTACTGATGATTTTGAGAGTGACCCAGCTGTATGGGAACCAGAACAATGACTCTCTGTTAGTATGGTTGGATCTTGGCATAGCAAGACTCACCTATCGAGGATTTTCCAGGAGCCACCAGAAACTGTTCCTCACAGTCTCTGCCAGAATAAAAAGTTAGAAATGTTATTAATGTTAGGTCTTGTCTTCAGTGAGAACAGATGAAAGTGCTAAAGGACACTGTAACCCAGTAGTAACTGACAAGTAGTAACTGACAGGCTTAGATCATAGCAAAACTCAGTCTTTCTTTTTCTTCCCAGGTTATAAACATGCGTACCATCCGACCAATGGATATTGAAGCAGTGGAAGCCAGCATTATGAAGACAAACCATCTAATAACTGTAGAAGGAGGTTGGCCACAATTTGGAGTAGGAGCTGAAATCTGTGCCAGGATCATGGAGGGTATGAGTTTTGCAGTTACATATGTTGATCCCAGTCTCTAGTCTAAATCCTGATGACTTCTTGATAAAGCCAGATGAATACAAAATTAGGATTCTAGATCTGAGGAGCTTGAGCCTAGATGTCTTGCTCCAGAGATTGTCACAGGGTGGATCCAGCTCATCTTCATTGCAAGTAGCCCTTATCCCAGGAACTTGACTGTGAGAGAAGCAGGATAGACTTGTTTTGCCTGAACCATAGTGCATGAAGATAAGCAAGAACAGCTTTCTCTGGAATATTAGAGCTACAGGAACAGGATTGTTTGAACCGATTAAGGTTTAGAAATTGAACTGAGAGAAAATCATCGTGTACAGCAACCTGACATCTCTCTTGTTTCAGGACCTGCCTTTAACTACCTGGATGCTCCAGCTGTGCGTGTTACCGGTACAGATGTTCCTATGCCCTATGCAAAAAACTTAGAAGATAACAGCGTGCCTCAAGTGAAGGACATAATATTTGCAGTGAAGAAAGTACTGAACATCTAAGTTGTAAATACATGCTTTAAAGTCCTGCTTTATGAAGTGTTTATGTTGTTGGGCAAGTTGTATGCATAACTTCTGTTGTATAGTTATATGAATTTTTGTATAGTGGGGAAAGTATTGGGGACCTCCCATGATGTTTATACCGGGTCACCCTCTAAGCCACATGTCATATAAGTAACAGTGTGGTCATGCTTGTTTGTTCAACAGTACAGGTGGGTTAGTGCTGCTGTATATAGAGAAATCCTGTTGTAAACTTGGAGTGAGGAAAAAATCTTCCATTTCTGCTTATAAGTAATTACCTGACCAGCTGCATTAACTGGCTTTAGTGGTGCTTCAAGGAAGAACTGCAGTGAGCAATGGGAGGCCCCAGTGCGAGCCCTGGAATGCTGTGGCTCCCTAGGAGCCCAGGTCACAAGGCTTATTAAAGGTGAAGGATCAAACAGGCCTGAGTGAAATCTCACTTGGCAGTTCAGCAGTTGAGTGCTGCTGTTCATACAGAGGGGCTTTGGCCCTGTACTCTGAGCACTCTGCTCATGCAGGAAAGCTGCACAAGAGCTTTATTTAATAAAAATTCTCTTCAGTATGTGGTGGGAAACACTACACAATTTTTCTTTACTAACAGCCACATTAAGTGATAAAAATGCTTTGCGTCACATGGGCTAACAAAAGCATGCTCAAACTGTAGTTCTTACAGTGCAAAATAAGCTATTTTACTCTGACTCGCTGAGCTCTGAAGCAGCAGTTGTGTAGACAGTGTTTGGAGAGCTGGTGAAATGGCAGCAGCCTTTCAGTAGATGGCTGCACACCGGGGTTCAGTGCAGGGAGGGCTCTCCTGGGCTTTGTTCAGTAGCTTCTTGTACAGAGTGAGAGCTGCCTGTGTCGGCCTGGCTTGCCCTAAACACTGGTGGCTTTCCAGTGAACTGCTGGAGATGAGACCTACTTACCTCTGTAAGGAGCAGAACAACTTGGATCCTGTTTCCATGAAGGGCCAGGAATACCTTTCAGGGTATTCCCTTTCGCAGAACTGCTGTTAGGTTCTTAGGAAGTCTGGCTTCAGGTGCAATTCTGGGTGAACATACCCACCACCACACTGCTGGAGGAATTCCATTAATATTTTAATAAAAATTACTGGATATCACAGGTTGCATGAAACTTTGTACAGACATTCTCTGCATAGTAACAAACACGGATGTACTTGAATTTAAAAAAATGGATTATCTTTAATCCTTTAAAGTGCAATTTGTTTAAGGTTTTAAATCAAAAAAAAAGGTTCTTTCAATAAAGTTTAAGTTCTAGAATTAACTTGGAAGTAACTTTGCATTTAACTAAATCAAGAATAATATCCCAGTGCCCTGTTAACTCCCCTTTCAACTTATTTCCTCATTTAAAAACCCTTCCCCTTAGAGTTAAGGTAGGATGGCCATTTAAACAAGTTTAATGAGACAGCATTTTTACTCCACCAGCAACTAGAGTGGGAATAGGATGTAATTCTCCAGTTCCCTCACCTGTGCAGTATGATTCGGGGGGGGTGAGGGGTGTAGATTATCTAAAACAAAACTTGCTGATTCAATGCAGCAAGAATTGAGTTACAAGTGCATGAAAAGAGCTGAAAATCTGAGCAGGCTAAAACTACAGACCTGTAATATGGAAAAAGGGGTGGAACAGAGCTTGGGAAAAATGCATTAATTTACCATGATCATGGCAATTCTTATTGTAATTTTTTTATTCAGCTGTATAGAAGTTGCTGTGCTCCTGAACCTGTAGCTAGAGAGTAATGTTCTTGAAACCAAGTGAAGAATGGAGAGTACTTATTGTGGCGTGGCAACACAATTCAGCCAGGGCAGTGCTGCTACTCAAGGAAAGCTGAAACAGGGTAAATGGAGCTACAGTGTGACAGTGCGCTGGTGGATCAGTCACTGGTCAGGAGGGTCTTGTTCCAAGACAGCACAGGAGGGGGAGAGAGGAATTCAATCCCAGTGTGTCCAGCGGCCTCAGCTGATCCTGGGAGCGCTGTAGTCGCAGGTCTGTGTTTTCTTCAGAGTTCCTTTCTGAAAGTTCTGAATGGAGCTGAGTAAGGCTCCTCGGCTTGTGCTGACTTCAGGCCTTGGGGTTGGCTGCATTGGTACCTCTGTACGAGGAGGAGGAGGAGGAGGAGGAGCTGCTGGTGACAGTGGTGGTGGTGGTGGTGGTGCTGGGGGTATCGATGATGCTCCTGTTGAGGAGAGAAGATGTAGTTTGATTATGCCAAGGAGGTCCTGCCACAGAGCACTGCAGCTGCTGAGCTGCACTTGGTCAGTCCTGCTCTAGTCACGTCATCCTTTGAATGCCAATGGAGTGTGAAGAACAGAACAGATGAAAAATGTGAAAGTGATCCAATCCCTCTATCTGCAGGTGGGTCATGTCATCTGAGACGCCTCTAAAAGGAAGCCTGAAGAACCTCAGAACTCGGGGATGCAAAACATGACTCAAACATGGTATCACTTAACAGGACTTCTCAGCTTCAGCTTGTCTTGCTTGTCCCCAGTGAAGTAGTTTGATCTTTGGGTCATCAATAGTAACAAAGACTGGAAGTAAACCTCACTGTTCTTACATGAGTGCTTGGTTGGATTATACTCCAATTTTACAATATTAACTGCAGATAGAGTTTTCTGGAAGTGCTTTACACTTCCACAGTACTGACTCTCAAAACATGTTGTAACAAATGCTTGTTTCACAGGCTGAATGAATCACAACAATCTGCCACTCACACCCCTTGCCTGCCTCTGTGTTCCCATGAGTCACCCTTGCTTTCTGAGTCACATCCATCTCATGCTGCTCATCTTGCCCCAGCCTCATATCCCAGCTCCCTGGTGCACACAGGTAGCTAGCCCAGCAGTGAGGGCCTGCATGGAGGTGCTTCCCGGCAGTTCAGATCCAGGCAGGTGACCTTATTTGCCCCTGCTCTTGTGCAACTCTGCTGCTGCATGTTGCACCATTATTTGTACACATGTACAATCAAAGATCCAGGTAGGACTAAGAACAAAGGGCTTTAGAGGTGACCATGTGCCATTCCACACGACATCCATGTGAAGGTGGCATCTGCAGCCCATCACCCGCTCTATGGGGAATGATGGACTTTTCTTGCAATATTCTGGAATGAGTAGGGGCATAATGATTAACACCTTAAAATTCACTGTTGAACTAACTACATCATCTAGATCATGAGTTATTCCATAGTAAGACTTAGAGAAACAAATGTCACCTATAGTCTAACACTTGCTTCTGACAAATAACCTACAAACAGGAATACACAGCTAAGTGACAACAGCTGTGATACTGAAGGACAACAAACAAGAACAACAGGAGGCCAACCAAGAGACCAAGAGAGGTTACTGAAGTACAACTGCTTGCTATGGAGTAAGGAAGTATCAAGCAGTTAACATTATGGCACACAGACTCAAGAGGTATTTGATGAAGGATAGAGCTCAGCTACAGAAAATAAAAACAGAGCAAAGTTCTCTGTGTTCTCTCAGTTCCTCACTAACACTTGCTCCCAGACCACCAAGTAATAGGAAAAAAAGTAACTCCTGTAATTAAAAGCAAAGGCATTTATACTAGATGACAGTCATAACTCAAAACTCCCTCAATTGCACCAGTCTGATGAGAGACTTTTCCCATATGGGCGTAAGCTCAAAATGCAGAGTATTAACATAAAGCATCCCATTTTGCCAGTGTACACTGATATATGCTGTGACTGTAGCACTTCCAACTCTTCAGGAGAAATTCTCATTGTCGTGAAAACCTCATGTGACAACGCAACACGGAAGTACGTATTGGGTTTGTCTTCACTGTCCTCCTTTCCAGAGGAAATACTCAAGTCCTAGTAGAGATATCAGAGATCAACTGAAACAATTTAACATGCCTGTTGCACGTGGATCAATTGCTTTCTTCAGTAATCAAAACATTACACAGTGTTAGCATAGACTGAAAGAAATTGTCCATTGATGCGCTGGGGCCATCAAACTTACCTAACTCTACTTTTTATGCCAGCCAAATATGTAGGTCAGCTTATTATTAGAAACACTGGAAAACCACCCTGTAGGTCAGAGTTCTTCTGTTTCTCATGTGTGTAGAGTGTGTTAGCAAAGCACAGCAAAGCAAAATGTGACACTTTGCCGAAGGAAGAACAAGAACAGTTAAAGTAGACAAAGCAGAACACTGTAGGACTGACGTTGCAGTGCTAGCACCAAACTGATCAGATGAACTGCTGTAAAACAGCCAAGACTAGCTCATTATAGATGAAGCAGCTCCAAATGATGCAAGAACTGCAGAGAACAAAGACAAGATTTCTGGCTGGAATTGCAGGGTGAGGTTGAAGAGGCTATGCAAGTAGCTGGACAAGATACAATAGGGAATGACCCTGAAAAGTGGCTAGGGGTCTGTAATGGAACACATGGGTAACAGATGCAGTGAAATACTGTGACAGAGAGGGGGGTAAAAAAGCCACAAAGTGCTTGGATCACTAAGTATTATTAGGCCAAGGTTCCATGTGTTACATTCAAATTTTGGTCTGGTTATTTTACAATGAGGATAGAAAAGACATAGAAGTAGGGGGAGAGACCACCTTCCCTTCTGGAAAATGGTTAAATTCCTCATCACACAGTTAAGCTCTTGGGAGACTCATTACAGACAATGATACACTTACACCTGAGCTACACCTGAGATCTGCCTTAAAACATAAATACACACGGGTTTTAGAATGGCATCTGACTAGCTATGAGCATTACTTATGAGCATTACATATTGAACCTATTAAGAGCATGATTCTGGAAATCTTAAATCCATTCATTTCAGTTAATCCATCAAAACCGATCTGTCCTTTCCTTCTAGACATGAGTTTGGCAAAGGAAATCTTAGTTCACCTTTATGTTCTCAGATGCAATTACATTTACAGGTTAAACTGTTCTGCCCAACAGTGAATATTTTTCTATTTACTAGAAAAAAAAACAACAGAGACAAGTGCTCTGTTATCACTACACCTTTCTGATACACATGC